TTCTGGAAAATGGTGGCACTGGAGACTAAAGGTTTTGAATGCATCATCAAATGCATTTTTTAAAGCACTGTTTTCAAGCATGTTTCCCCCAAACACTAACCCATCTGTCATTGGTCAAACAAATAGATAGCCTCACCCCCAAACTTACGCCATTGGCTGTTGTGTTATGTTGGATGTTCACTGTAAAAAATATTTTCAAGATTTGTTATCACAACATATTTTCTTTTGTCAAATCAATTTTATAATAATTTATTTAGTTGAGATAACTTATTATTTTGAGTTTCTGATGATTAAATTAGTCTCCTTCATTGTATTAACTCACTTTTTCCAGTTCAATCAACTTAAAATTTTAAGGCAACCAGGTTACTTACTTTTTTAAGTTAAACCAACAATATTTTTTTACAGTGATAGTAATCACAACATTTTTTCTTTTGTCAAATCAACTTAAATAATTTATTTAGTTCAGATAACATATAATTTTGAGTTTCTGATGATTAAATCATTCTCCTTCATTGTATTAACTCACTTTTTCCAGTTCAATGAACTTAAAATTTTAAGGCAACCAGGTTACTTACTTTTTTAAGTTAAACCATCAATATATTTCACAGTGTTGAAATAAAATTATTGTTGTATATAATATTATATTATTGTTATAATATTTTTGAAATAATATTCACATCATGGTGAATATTACTTCATCTTATGAATGCCTTACTTATTCAAGTTGTAATACAAATACTGTATGTTATAAGGACATATTTTATATATATATATATATATATATATATATATATATATATAAGGACATATATAAGTTATAAGGACATATATATATATATATATATATATATAATAAAAAAAAACATTGTTATATTGCCTATTTGTGTACAACACAAAATAAAACATTTCGGAGTCTCAGGCGGAAGCGAGAAATAAGGGGGACACTTATGATGAACTGTTTTAATTAACTGTTTACTGCAGCAGAATTTAATTATATGCAAATTAAGGTGCCAATTTTTCTAGTGGGCTGAATTTGAACAATACACAAAATAAATGCAGAATGAAATTTGTCTTTCTCATGCTGACTGTCTCTTTCACAAACACACACACACAGACAAAAAGATGTATACCTCATCAGTACCCTAGTTCCCACAGCGATATGTAAATGAAGGCAGTAATTTGCTTTAGTTGCAGAAAGTGCCCAGGTAACCACAGACCCGACAGCCCTTGCATACAAACACTAGCACACACATAAAGAAGAGTTATTTCTGGAAACACTCTTAATCAACCATACAAATGTATGGTTATGTATAATGCATCATGTTAAATAAAGCATCATTGAGTATCATCGTAAGAGCAGAAGACACTCGACATTTCGCACCAAATTAACACGCAGCAAGACACCAAACGCATGCACTCACACGCACACGACATCAGTGTGCTGACATTTAATTAATCTCGATCTGGCCTTTGAAAATGAAAGATAAGAATGGGTAACATATCATCTGTGATTTGTATTCTCCGGTGAACTATTTATTATAGATTGTTTAGCGTTCCCCGTCACTGATTTTGTGTTTTAGATGCTCATTCGATTTCTCTAAAATGGTTGGTGCTCTGTAATCCTCACACTAATCTGATTTCTTGTGTGTGAGCATGTGAAAAAGAAAGAGAAAATCAACCCAACCCAGATATTCACTCTTCCTATCTCTCCTCTAACACACACACACACACACACAAACAAACTCGTACACACAGACACATGTTGTGTGCATGACCAGTGTCTATTTTTTTCCTGAGCCGATTTTGAGTCATTCTCATACTGTTCAACTTCAGCTGACCTTTTTATTTAATTCAAATTAAAGGGTCATAAAACACAATTTTCTGAGATTTTAACAGAGGTATGTGTTGAACACCATTGAAGACAATGTTAGCATCTTTAGATTTAATAGTAGGGGGAAAATGGTTAAATTTTAGTTTTTCACAGGCTGTGACGTGGCAGTGCACTGTAAGTGTTTTGATGACTCATTGGTGTCTCTTAGTTATTCATGAGAGTGAGTTTTCTTATCCTATGAGAAGACACTGTCTCTTAATTATTCATGACACCACATGGATCTTTCCAATGACCGACATGTCAAACTGTGAGATCGCACAGTAGATGAGCAAAAGTTCCAGTGCATTGAATATTTTTCCCTGCGATGCTGCCAGGGCTAGACTCTGGCTGCGGGTGGTTGGTTGGCCATCAACAACGAGATGGTCCTCACTGCAGAACACAAAATCCTGGGGGAGGAGTTGGAACCTTACATCTACCTAAACCTACCCATCTCCGCTCCCTGATTCCTAACCACACTCCTAATCCTACCAATCTCCACCCCTTAGATATAGATCCAACTCCGTCCCCTGGATCTCATGCACTGCAATAAGGTGCTACTGTCAACCACAGACACATCTAAACTGTGTGTGTGTGTGTGTAGCACGCATTTTTGTAGCGAGAGAGCTTTGAGAACTGGAATGGTGGACTTCGGCCTCACCAATCCAAGATGCGTCTTGTGAGTGATGCGGTACCAAGTCCTGAGGACTTTTCTATTCCTTCAGAGGTGTCTGTGTCTAAAATGTAACCCTGACCGTTTTACTTGCCTTAGTTTTATTAAACCTCTGAGGTCGACAAGCGCACCGGCACGTTTTGCTGGATTTTTTTTTACACAGCAGGAAAATAGATTTAAAATACTCCGTCTTTTATGGTGACACAGACTTAAGAAATATGAAAAAACTATTAAATAAACAGGGTGTTTTTCTGGAGCACGTCTCTAAACTTAATCAAAACTCAGCGAATACTATTCACCCAGGCAAGAGTAGTATATCTTTATAATCATTTAAAATGAATTATTTTCAAATATATGCATTTATATATATATACTGTATATATATATATATATATATATATATGAAGAGTTCAGATGCAAAAGCCTCTAAGTGCCATTTGAAATGTTCTCCTAGAATGATCATTTTTATCAAGCTTGTATATTTAAGTTCAGTAATTTCACTTAAATGACAATTAATAGGTAATCTTCATTGCAATTTAAGTGAAATTACTGAACTTAAATATACAGGCTTGATAAAAATGATCCTTCTAGAAGAAAATTTCAAATGGCACTTAGAGGCTTTTGCATCTGAACTCTTCATATATATTCATATATATATATTATAAAGACAGTATAATCGTACATGTACATTAATATGTTTTAAATAGAATTATGATACTGTAAGCTAATATGGGCCTGTGTAGCAGCATTCAGTTATTTTTGAAAGAACAAAATAAGATGACAGTGTATTTCATTATACACTTTAACTTTGTCAGCTATAAAAAATCTAGCATTTCCTCACTTTTTACCACTGATTTTTAGTGACAGTTGATATACATGGGCATTGGCTGATGACAGTTATCCTGCCCTACCCTCTCCCCTGCAGTGCCACACCCACTCGCCTCCCTTCTACTCACAGCCATCCACACACCCATTTAAGTTGCATTTTTCAAAAAGATTGTGAGGTAGACTTGAGCTGAAAGAGGGGGGTTTCATGACCCTTTAAAAAACAACAAATTGAACAGAAACACAAACACACACACACAAAGGGCTGTTAGTCACAGTTCATCTATGTGTGAGCCTATTTTATTTTTGATGTTCAGCTGAAGTGACAATAATCAGATAATGTACTTATATCCACACTATTGCACACCTAAAATACCACACACATTTTCTCTCTCTCTCTCATTGAGTGATTGCACAAGTAAGGATCAACGTTATGAAAGTTCCCCCTCAGATTTCAATAATCTCTCTCAAATTCAAAGATATATCTTGTCTTTATGAGTAAGATGTAATTTCTTATATTCTCATATTCCACCCAAGAGCCTCAGTTGTGTGTGAGTTCAGAAATGTTTCCAGTCTTACAATGAACTACATTTATTTGGACAATTTAGTCACACTGGTCAATTTTTATGGATATAAAAAGTCAGTTCCCCTCAAGTTAACCATCATAAACTACACACTATAAACATGTCCCACAACATTTGACAACCAGAAAGTGTCCACGAATTGTTAATCTTTATTTTGAACTAAATATTTATTACTTCATCATACCCTGAAAACTTACAAACACGTTTTTGTGAAATGTTTCAATTGAATTGACTGCTTGAGCTACAGTGTATTTCTTTTAAAATAAATGCTTGATCATACTGTAATAATGCAAATACAAAGCAGCCATTACTTTAGCAGCCATTAGTCTTGTCACATGATCCTTCAGAATAATAATTCTAATAGGCTCAAGAATAATTATTTTTATTATAAATTTTGAAACTTTTGTTTGAAAATTTTGTTTAAAATAGAAACCTTTTCTAACATTATACATTTCTTTTCTTCCACTTTTAAACAATTTAATGTGTCCTTGCTGGAAAAAAAAGTTTTTTTAAAATGTAGACTCAATTTTGATTTCTTTTGTTTAACTGTTTTGTTAAATCAATATCACACTTGCCATCACGCTGTTGTTAAGTACAATAATATAATATAACATAATATAATATAATATAATATAATATAATATAATATAATATAATATAATATAATATAATATAATATAATATAATATAATATGCAGCCATATTTTACCTTTCTCACATTACTTTTCAAGTCAAATCTCCAACTAATTTCCATTTTGTTGTAGATTTTGTCTGACTCCAGTCTATTGGGCTGCATTTTGCTGTAACTGAACTAAGAGGCCAGTGCAAATTAGACCTACTCCTGAGGCAAAAATGATCTAGCCAGTCTACTTCATCCTTTGACACAACATGTAAAAGGAAGAACTGTTCCACTTCCTACCAAGAAATCATGCAAGAAACTGGCTGAGAGAGACATGGTTGGATAAATACAGTACTATAATACAAAACAACAAACTGCAAACCAAGCCTGGACTAACTGGTGTTGTGTTGAGCTTGCTTGGGATGTTCTTACCTTTTAATATCCCACATGCCGCTCGTCAGAGTTTACGAAAGCTGATATGAGACAAAAAGAAGAAACATTTTTATTTCTTTTGGCTTTTAAAATGTTAAAATATCAGCCTCCAGAGGAGGGCAGCAGCAGTCTCACAGCATGTGATATTGCCTTAAAATCAGCAGTAAAAAGTTGTGGCAATAAACAGAAGAGGACGAGGTGCTGTGTCTGCTTTCTCTAATGCTTTATTTGCACCATCTATTTATAGATGAGCGATGTGGAATATACTATATTCATCTATCACTTTAATGCACTACCAGATTCATAAGTACCACCTCTAATAAAGAGATAGAGAGAAAGGAGAGTGAGAAAAAGAAAGGGATAGTTATTGAGCGACTGAAAGGAGAGGGGAAAAACGATCTAATGCATCTAATGCAGCTCCAGTTTAGCACATTAAAACAGTCAGACGCGATCACACACACACACACACACACACACACACACACTAGAGAGTGCCAGAAAGAGAGTGATGAGGAGTGAATCAAGAAGTGAAAGAAAATAATTGGAGAGATGGAGTAAGGATGAAAGAAAGAGGGCAACAAGGAAGAGAGAGAGACAAGAGGGAGAAAGAAAACCAACACAGGAAGAGAGAGAGACAGAAAGGGGGAGATGAGGTAAGTAAGTATTTTTAGTGGATTACATCTTTAGTGTCAAAAAGAGTTGGATGCATCTGTGAGTAGCTCTCAATAATGCAGCAGTGTATGCACTATAAAACACACACGCACTCTTAACGCGCTAAATCCGCTGAGGTTTTATGGTCATATACAGTATTCATGTGCGCGTTATTTGCTGCAAGGCTTTGACAGCAGCTGGTCAGAGAGAAGCTACTTCAGGAACAACTGTGTGAGAACACAGGAAGCGGGAAACAGGGATGTGGGGAATACAGAGAGGCATTTGTACTTGCTCATGTAAAAAGGGGAGCAGTCTAAAGCTCCTAAAACTGGCTCTGTTCCAAATCCTAATGAGCTGCCTTCTAAGGCGGCATTTTAAGACATTAAACAAACATGTGAAGGTTGTTCCACATGGCTGTGCTCCTTCTGATATTTAAGTTTGAAAGTGTGCATCATTCACAGAGAATGGTACCACACAATGCACTGCAAAAAACTTAAATGTATCCGTTGGTGAACAATGTAAGAGAAATGTTGATTTAAAAGCATTTATAAGCTTTTTTGCAGTCTTCGGTGCCACACGATCCATCAGACATCATTCTAATATGCTGATTTGGTGATATATTTTTATCATTGTGTTGAAACAGTTGTTATGTTTAATTTTTTGATGTTGTGTAAAAACCTACCCCCAAACCTACCCCGTCACCTAACCGACGTTAAAGGTAAAGCGTCAGTTGCATGACGACCCGGGATCGTCATGTAACGACGTTTAAGGGTACCCTAAAAAGGCGGATGTTGACGTATGGTCAAAAGACGTCCCAAGACGTCAGTTGTATGACTTCTTGGGATGAGACTGTGTTAATTTGAAATAGAAAACTTTTGTTAAATTAAAATGTATTTACTTTAACTTTTGATCAATTTAATGCATCTTTTCTTAAAAGTATTCATTTCTATTTTCTTTTCACTTATGACACTGCCCGGCCACTGCACTGCCATTTTTTTTTTTTTTTTAATTTAAATTTAAATAGGCAAATACTTAAGAGTCTAGGATCATTATTGCAGTGATTATTATGTTTCTAGTATATATGTTTGGCAACAGTTCTTCTAACCCTAATTAATGGAGTGTGTAGCTTCTAACAGTAAATTGATGTGTAGTAGCTTTTCATTTCTTAAACAGCCATGTAGGAAAACACATCATGGCCATATTCCAGGATGACAATGTCCAGGTTCAAATTCTGAAAGAATGGTTGTGAGGGAGCATGAAGAATCATTTTCACACATGAATTGGTACCTCTGAGTCCAGACCTTAAATTCAATGAAAGTATTTGGATGCTGAAGGGAGAGTTCACAATCAAGAGTGCTTGACTCTTGCATTGTCAATACAAGATCTTGACCAAAAAAATGACGCACCTCTTGATGGAAATAACATCACAACATTTAACTTGAGCCTGATGAATCTTGGCTTTGCCATCCTGGAATATGGCCATGATGTGTTTTCCTACATGGTTGTTTAAGAAATGACAACCGTGTTGTATAGCATATTCATATAACATGTTAGAAATATAATAATCACTGCAATAATAAACAATTCTTAAAGGAGTAGTTCACTTTTAAAAAAAAAACTTTTGCTGATAATTTACTCACCTCACCCCCATGTCATCCAAGATATCCATCTCTTTCTTTCTTCAGTCGAAAAGAAATTAAGGTTTTTGATGAAAACATTTCAGGATTTTTCCCCATATAATGGACTTCATTGGGCACCAAATGGTTCAAGGTCCAAATTAGAGTTTCAGTGCAAACTGCAAACTGTTCAAAGGGCTTTAAATGATTCCAGACGATAAGATTAAGGGTCTTATCAAGCGAAACGATCGCTCATTTAAAAAAAAAAAAAAAAGTTTAAGTTTTATAAGCCCAAATAGTTGCCTTGCTCTGTTCTGTGATGCACGTTCGTGGCTCTCCTGTTCAAACTCATTTATCAAAACGAACGAATCTTTTCCCGAGTCAATTTGTTCATTTCATTCATTGAATGAACCACATGACATGAAAAAAGATTAGTTCATTTTGATAAACGAGTTCAAACAGGAGAACACGCACGAACGCGCGCACAGAACAGAGCAAGGCGACCATTTGAGCTTATAAAACTTAAACTTTGTTATTTTTTTTAAACGACCGATCATTTCGCTTGATAAGACCCTTAATTATCGTCTGGAATCGTTTAAAGCCCTTTGAACAGTTTGCAGTTTGCACTGAAAATGTCTTTTGGACCTTGAACCGTTTGGTTACCAGTAAAGTGCATTGTATGGAGAAAAATCCTGGAATGTTTTTATCAAAAACCTTAATTTCTTTTCGACTGAAGAAAGAAAGACATGGACATCTTGGATGACATGGGGGTGAGTAAATTATCAGCCAAAATTTTTTTTTAAAGTGAACTACTCCTTTAAGTATTTGCCTATTTAAATCCAAATAGTGCTAAATCTGTGTTAAAATTCTTTAATAAACTAATATAATAATAAATATAGAAATTTGTAGATTGATTTGGGGCAGAGTTATCTTTTTAACTGACCAATAGGCTATAGAAGATTGTCGGCAAACAATTATAAAATAATAAATACAAAAATGGTACCATTTTATCTACTATTTGTGTGGGCATATAATGTTGTTAGCTTAGCAACATCCTAAAGTCAAACTCTATATTGTAAGGCCCGCCCAATCGGCCCAAAAATGGTTTCAAAAGAGTGGTTGAAGGGTTACTGTGCGATCTGTCTTTTCAGCGTGGCATTAATTGCGATTTACTTTTATCTAACTCCATTTTATCACGACCTCAAGTTTTGGTTGGATTGGCAATTGGTTATTTGTTTAATAGACATTTGATTATTCTATTTAACTCTTTAATATTGAACTCTTATTGAAGAGTCTTGAGCCGACCGTTTTAACGTGGACTCACAAACTCACCAGTCTTGGTCACTGGACAGAGGTAATTGACTATACTGTTTAGAGGGCCACTCCCATGCTTACACGCTATAAAAGTATTTTGTTTAGTCCCCATTGATCTGTATAAACTTGAACTAAAGTAACACTATCTTTAGCGAAAGTGTACAGATATAAGCTGACCAATATTACTTTTGCCCTGATAGCTAGAATAATTTTATAATAAACATTGTGTTGTCCTAAACAGAAATTCCCTTTATTAGCCTTTAGTGCCAAATTTTTGCCAGATCGCTAAAATCTTAGTTGGCGCGCCCTATGATCCACTCAAAACTGGACTTTTGTCCTCAGATTTGCGGTAACAATGGATGCAACATAATCTACTAGAGTTAATAATTTCAGAGTAAGTCTATATTGAAATAAAAAAATGTAACTTTTTATTATTAGTCAGGTAAATGTATCATGCTAATGACATAATCAATTCAAAGAAAATCAATATCATCAAATGCTCAGAAATAATGAGTAAAAGATACCTGACAATAGAAAAATACATAATGCAGAGTCTGTGATGGGCACAAATGCCCTTTGCAGCATTTCTTTAAATACTCGGACCAAGACAAAACATCGCCCAAAGTGAGACAGACACTTACAATAGGAATTTGCATTTATCAGGGTCCCAGATATGGGTAGTTTTCACCATACCGAGGACAGAAGACAATTGCATGAAAGACCCTGTGAAAGGAGCACACCCACCACTGTAAGCAATTATCTCTAAACTCTTAAAACCTTTACAGAGAGTAACCCTCTCTTGGTCAAGATAGTCCAGCATCAGTCTAAATATACAAAACAATATATAAAACAATTCGGGTCACTTGTGTGTTTTACGAGCTGCTGCTGCTACCTAAAGAGTTCCAAATCAGTCGCTTATGACTCAGAAGGCTATAAGCTAGGTTTTGGACAGAGCCAGTGTGTGTGTGTGTGTGTGTGTGTGTGTGTGTGTGTGATAATGCAGACAACTTACATGTGCTAAAATGAGTCTAAACTGAGTCTAAACTCAGATGTCTCTCGTTGGGTGAAAGAAGGACAGACTCCACAGGACTCTCCTGAAAGATGAAAAACTCATTAAACACTCAACACGCAGCCCTTTTAAATCCTTCTCTCTCTCAAACATCCACACACTCACTGAAAGCACCAGTTGGGATTTGACTGTTTTATGATTTTTTCAGTCTAGTTTGGAAACGACTGACTCAGGTGTTCTAGCACTAATGCTCTGAGATCAACAGACATCTGTCAGAATATGAGGATCGTACGGTGAGCTTGTCACTTTAACCAGATGGTGTGAAAATCTTCCCATTATTAGACTTTTTGTATTAAGATATACTCTGCATGACAGAAAATGGACCTATATAATCCGGTGTATATGTACCATTTAAATGTTTGGGGTCAGTAAGATTTTTTTAAAAGAAATTAATACTTTTATTCAGCGAAAATGCATTAAAAAATACTTTATAAGGATGCAAAGCATTTCTATTTGAAACAAATGCTGTTCTTTTGAACTTTCGATATTTATAAAAGAATTCTGAAAACATGCATTAACATTTTTTTTATGTTTCTTAAGCACCAAATCAGCATGATAAAATGATATCTGAAGGATCAGGTGACAATTGCTGCAGTAAATTCAGCTTTGCCATCAAACATATTTATATTTTAATGAGTTGTTTAATGAGTTATTTAACATTGTAATATTTAATTACTTATAACTACAAACAAATGTAGCCTTAGTGAGCATATGATACTTTTTTAAAAAAACATTAAAAAAAATCTGTCTGACCCTAAATATTTGAACAACAGTGTATTGTGTATTTGGCATATGGTGCACTGCAAAAAAAAAAAAAAAAAAAAAAGTTTCTTCCAACGTATTTTTGTCCTGTTTTCCATTACAAATGTCTAAACATTCTTAAATCAAGAAATATTTAAAGTCCCCTTGAACCGGAAGTTGCAAACGACTTTTCTCCAGTGCTGTAACGTATTTCCAAGTGAAACGGAATATTGAACAGAAGGCAGGGTTTTACTCTAGCGCTCCTCCTCTCCATCTCGCTCATAGCAGACTGACGGTTTGAGGGAAGTGGTAAAGCGTGTCCCAACCCAAGCCGTCAAACCTACGTCATCAGAAAAAGACACCATTCCAGACCGAAAGTAACTTTTCAGATTTTGATTAAAGATTACCATGGTAAAAAAAAAGAAAAAAATGTATATAGATTTACTTGCACGGATTAATTGTTCACCACAAGACTAGTAATTTGTGCTAACAGAGTAAATAGGTTCAATTTTGATTTCACAAGAACTTTAATTGAGAAACAATGTGACTATAAAAGCTGCAGTCTTTCCTCTTTGTCGCCATCTTTGTTCGAAGTCTGCAATTGCAGTTATTCACGGAATTATCAACTTTATGTGAGTTGTACTTCGACACGGCACAGCGAGGATGAACACAATGTTTGAGGAGACTGTGAGGCTGTCAGTAACCGTGTCAATGTGAATACTGGCATTCAGAATCACAGATTATTCTTTTTGGAAGTATGAACAACATAATTTTTACCAGAAAATGTCATCTGAACAAGTAAGAAACATCCACTTTTGTTTTGGTTCTTACATTGCAGTAAATCGTGCTGATTAAATCTAACAATAGCTTATCATATCACGCAAAACCATGCAAATTATACTTTGTTCTCAAATTAACAACGTCAGCATTGCGTGACTATGCTCTCTGATATGTATCCTTGTTTTCGAGCAACTTTGTCCGAAGTGTATTTTACAACGGGCGAGTCTCCAGATGTCACATGATTGTTGTTTGAACCTTTTTGGATCCGCAGTCAAATTGATAAGTTTAATTATATCAAGTGTTGTGAGAAAAGACTATAAATCTCCACCTCCAACATCCTCACATGCAATATAGTCTACTAGCCGAGACTCTTCTTTATGTGAACAGATGTGTGTGTGACGCAAAGACATGCTCAAATCTCCCGCGGAAATCCACCAGTACCACTGGAATTAAAAACATCATTACAAGTTTACCGCTTTGAATCGAGCTACGGCAAGCAGATAGTTTTGAACACTGGCTGGTTATGTATTTTCTCAAATGTGTATTTTGGATCATTTTTAACCCCAAAAAAGCTACGGACTGCAGCTTTAAGTCTTATTCTCTGATAAATAAATAAAACACATCAAAATTAGGGAGTTTAAGCTTAAAACAAGAACAATAATCTGACAATGGGGTCGGAAAATAATCTTGTTTTCCCTTTGAATTAAGATTATTTTTCTGACCTTGTCTGCAGATATTGGTTATTATTTTAAACTTAAACTAATACAAAGTATTTAAGTCATGAAGTGTATCTTGATTTAAGTGTGTTTTGACATTTTTACCGGAAAGCAAGACAAAAATACTGTGGAAGAAAATACCTATTGTTGTACAGAAGTAAAAATGCTTCTTTTTGCATTTTGTCTCTTTAAATGATTAGGAAGTGTGATTATAAAATCGGCAGTGTAATTTATAATTACTCGAGCTGACAAAAGCTTCCGGCATGATTTGAGAAAATTTCATTGAGCATTTCATGTGCTTCAATAGAAGCAAGAACGTCTGACCTTTGCTACAAATTTGTTTACATTCGATTAGTGACCTAGAAATAATGCTAAAAATATGTCATTATGTAATGGACCCCACTTTATACTGTAGGCTACTTGCAAACATCTGGATAGGGGCTATTTTTAAATACGAACACCGGTGAGAGAGATCATGCTCTTGTGTGAGATTGCTATGACAGATGGGGTGTTTTTTGCATTTTAAGAGCAGAAAGGTGTGACTGCAGTAAGAACAAGTGGCCACTAGGTTGTGCTGTTCACTTTCATTCATCTATCACAATATTGATTGGGAACAGGTTGTAAATATTACCTGAGAAGTGATGGGAACATAAATTCAGCATTGGCTATTTATTACATACAATATATGATCAGTAGGGTCTAATATGCAGAGCGTGCGTTCCTGAGTGAGACAGTATACAGACTGAAGAGTCTAAAACAGTCAGCCCTTTGTGTGCGTGTGTGTGAAAGAGAGAGAGAAAAACCAAAAGGGTTTAGTGAAAAAGAGAGAAGACATTTCAACCCCTCACTGAATGGAGGTTTTATTGATCTTAGTGGACATCAGCGCCTTCCAGCATGGTCTTGTACAGAAAGGCACATTAAAATGTCTAAACAGTGTTGGGGCGTTGAAAATGAGACAAGACAAGCCTTATCTACTAGCCATGAAAGAAAAGAAAAAAAATGCAAAAATGGCCTTTTTATGCTTTTAACTGCTCTGGATAGGCATTCTTCATATTTAGAGAAGACAAGTAGCTACTGTAGATGAAACAACTGAACTGAATACCATCATTTTCATGCCAGGCCCAGAAGGAATCTGATTACTTTTTTGCATTTTCTGTGTTGATTTTAGTGGATTTAAACATAGTAAAATGTGTTAATGGAGCTGATAGTACAAAATCTTCAGTAGCTGAAAGCATTTTCAAATTATGCAAAATATCTCCTAAACAAACACACAAGAAGCAGCATGAGTGCAGACGGGTGTTCCAATTCTGTGGAGTTCGATGCAGATTCCATTCGTGACTGTTCAAATATCTTGTAATTAAAAGAGTTTCTGGTTTAAGAAATGTAAAGATTGATCTTTGCCGTGCCAGAATTCACCTCTCATTCCCACTCTGTCACCCTGCTTGTTAGTTTTTCAAGCTGTAAAAAAACAACAACGTGAAGATCTCACTTACCTCTCTGATCTATTTGAGTCAATCTGGAAGAGAGAGAGAAGGAGAGAAAAGCGAGTGAGCTGAATACAATCATCCGAAATGACAGCATTACACCAACACTTCATTATCATGCAACTGTTTTCCAGACAAAAGATCAAAAATGCAGTCTCCATGAACTGTGGCAATATCAGATGCTGTCATAGTTGATGTAAGGCAGTGATTCCCACTCAGGGTCACAAATACCCAAGAGGATACTTGCAAAGATTTTGCTTTTGCTTTTTTTTAAACCTGTTAAAACAGGAATCACGACTTTAAAATAAAATATTTTAGGGCAATCAAATCGTTAAAATAGTGTTAAACAATTTTTGCAGAGAAAATTTGCAGTTGTTTTTTTTAAGGGAAAAAAGGGTGTTTAGTCAATTTGTGACATGGAACATATTTGCATATACAGTGTACAACTACCGTTCAAAAGTATAGGGCCGGATTTATGCATAAGCATTCAAAGCACTTGCCTATGCTCGCATGAGGAGAAATAATATATTTTTTTAAATTATAAGTATTATTTTAATATAATGGTAAAACAATTGTACGACAATAGCTCTCTAAATTAACTATATTTTAAATATGAGAAACCTCGTATCTCCATTTTTTTTCATAAATCATTACTATTGTGTCACACTTTACATCTGTTCATGGGTTTTTGCAAATATTTAACCAATGAAACTAAAAAGAGCGTGTGAGTTAACATATATTCATTGGATTCTCAAACTGTCAATCAAATCTCATAACTTCTCCCACCAGCGTGGTGCTGGTATGACATCACTTTGTACATATATATCTATATCTATATAAAGGCTAGATATCTTGTCCACGCTGCTGGCCAATGGAGGTCGACGTCTGCACCTGGCGGCCATCTTGTCACAGGCAGCTCGCTCACTCGTAACATTGTGTTAATGGTACATTAATGGTACTATTTAAATCACCAAACTTGCTCAATTTTCTACCGATTTTCAAACGGTTTGGTTTGTTATAAACGTCAGAGATGCATACTTATGATATGAATAATAAGTGTATAAATAAATAATCATCCAGATAATTATAGCCACGTTAATAACATTTGTAAGAAACCAAACCGTTTGTAAATCCGTCAAGATTTCAACGAGATAAGAGTATTTGTGTTCGTCCTGACCACTCGTTTTACATCAGCTTGCCTGTGACAAGATGGCCGCCGGTGATGACAATGGAAACTCCGCCTTAAGACATCTAGCCTTTATATAGATATCTATGACTTTGTAGGCTATATCAAGTTAGCATTTTAGCATTTTAGCACTCCCGGATCCATTGTCCCGATTCTGAAGTCAATGGGTTTTTTTTAATGGGGTTTGGTTAATTGGCTGAAATAAGGTCTGTAGTGAACGAGGCATATACATTGGTACCCCGCTCGTGATTTTTTGAAGCTGTTATGTCTTGAAAAAGGCGGTTACTAACAAGAGGCAAAATTGGACTACAGGAGATTAAACATTATGCTGAACAGGTAAACTGAATCAGCTTTTACAGCCTCATTATGCTTATAATTGTGCTCTTATAAACTATTCTAACTCAAACGTTCTGGGGAAATGTTTTTAGATTAAAAAAACTGAAAGAGTTGTTAGAAGCTTATTGGTGGTGACATTGAATTTGTGGGAATCTTGTGACGTCACACCTGCACCACTCTTATACCACATGTTTGGACCGTCTCTGCTTGTTTGCAAGGGTAAATAAACGGGTTTTTTGAATAAGTACATTACTTTATTTACTCAAGAAATTCTCTTTATATAAAGGCTAATGTTTTATGCATTTGAGGAGCGTAGCATTTGTCACCTAGTCATATCAATACTGTCATAAATAGCATGTGCGCACATAGCACTTCATCTCATTACATGAGATTTTGGGCAAATTACAATAAAATTTATAACCTAAGTTGATGAAAATGTAATGCGATGCACTTACTGCCTTCAAATGGCGGACAAAACACATTGGCTAGCTATGTTCGACATTCTCCATTTGAGCTTGATTTTAGTAATTTTTTTATATAATGACACATGCAAGTGTCTGACCAAATATTTTTTAATATAGTAACTGTTTTCCAATTCCTGAAAAATTGCGGTTTTGGACATTTGAGGTTTCTGCCAGACAAATTAAATGATCAAAAATGACAATAAAGACATTTACAGCATTAAAATTTCCATTTCAAATAAATGACGTTTTTTATGATTTTGTATTTATTCAAGTATTTCAAAATAAACATTGATCACGCTTTCACAAAAATATTAAATGGCGTATCGTATTTATGGTAAATCGTGATAACTATTTATGCTTCACTCGATTAACTATAAATAATCGTCATTCCAACGCATTCTCATCCCAAGGTGTCATATTCTGACACTTTTGCCAATGCGTATACATCCAACACACATGGCACCCTTTAGCGTCTATATAACACACTTCGGTTATGGTAGGTTTAGGTCTGGGGTAGGGTTATGGTTAGACCACTAGGAGGCGCCTTCTGGCCCATATATTGGCTAAAGCGTCAGTATATGACGCCTTAGGATGAGAATGGGCTGCTGGTTCAGGATTTTGGACATCAGTCCTCATTTCCAAGTTAGTCTTATTGTTAATATATCATTGGAGACAGTTTTCAAAAATTTTCATCCAGTCATTCTAGTTGCATAGTTCGCCGGTGCTAGGCTAGCATGAATCAACGGTAACTGCCTGCCATTAAAACCAGTTTTACCCTCTCCACAGTACACCAAAAGAAAATAAATTATAATGCCAGACTATCAATCAAAATCCTGAACCACCCCTTTAAGACAATTGCTTTGTCTCGCATTAGTAACAAGTCTTAATAAATCCCACAAAAAGGACTTTTTTCTTTAAAGGATACATAATCTGCCCAGTCCCTGTGCTCTGTTTTACTGTATTATTTATCAAATCAAATTCTAGTTTGGTGTCTTACTTAAAAGGTTAATTCACCCAAAAATGAGAGAGCTGTCAAAAATTATTAATCACCCTCATGTTGTTCAAACCCCATAAGACTTCTGTTCATTTTCGGAACACAAATTAAGATATTTTTGATTAAATCTGAAAGCTGGCTTACTCCTCCATAGGCTTCTATCGTAATTAAAACTTGCCGGCCCAGAAAGTACTGTAAGTACGCCGTCAGAACGTAGGCTCACTATTTCCAGCATCACAAGCATCACACACATGACCAGCATTGGCTAATAGTGAGCCATGTTCTGAAGTACATTGTAAAAAATATTTTCATGATTTGTAATCACAACATTTTTTCTTTTGTCAAATCAACTTCAATTATTTATGTGGTTCAGATAACATAATATTTTGAGTTTCTAATGATTAAATCATTCTCCTTCATTGTATTCACTCAATTTTTCCATTTCAATGAACTTAAAATTTTAAGGCAGCCAGGTTACTTCATTTTTAAGTTAGTTAACCCAACAATATTTTTTTTTACAGTCTACAACCCAGAAGTGCTGCGCAGTTAGCAAGGGGGTAATCCATCAGCCGGAAACTGAAGTCTCCCCGGGGAGATTTTTTTGTAAAAATAGGCTAACGATTGCGTCATAACGCGCAACTCTCTGTTATAACACGCGTATAGACAGAACTAGAAGCTTGGGCACAATCAGGGAGACGTGGAGGCATTAAAGTCAAAGGAGAAGCCCTTAGAGAGTTGTAAAGTTGCTCCTGTGCGAGCTCATGGACAGCTAATCCTCATGATCTCTGGCTCTGCAACATTCAGAAGGGAATGATTCAGATTCCTCTTGGCACAGCTACTAGAAGATGAACAACTGTGAGACAGGTTGCTTACATCACATAAGTCGTCAATCTCAGTTTGAGCCTGCGCAGTGCGCTTGGCAATCAGGAAGTGAGTGCTTCTAATTGACATCAATTTTCTCAGTTGAAGTCTATGGGGTCACTGTGTCCATTTCTTTTACTGTCTATGGCAGTTACACTAGGTGAGCTCAGAGGCCTACACAGAAGAAATTACTTGAATAAAGTGGTTTTTTTTTTGCACACAAAAAGCATTCTCATCGCTTGATAAACTTAAGGTTGAGCCACTGTAGTCACATTTTAACAATGTTTTTACTGACTTTCTGGGCCGGCAGAGTTTAATTACAATAGAAGCCTATGGAGGAGTGACAGCTCTCAGATTTAATCAAAAATATCTTAATTTGTGTTCTGAAGATGAACGAAAGTCTTACGGGGTTTGAACAACAAGAGGGTGAGTAATTACTGACAGAATTTTCATTTTGCAGGTGAACTAACCCTTTAAGACAAAAAAAAAAAAGGTTGGTAAACACTGGTCTAACGTCTCTCTATCCCCCTGCAGAACTGTTACGGGTAGGTTAAATCATTTAGGGATCAACTGCCTGACAGGTCAAGGGTCACATCAAGTAAATTCACTGACCACCAAAAGAGTCAAGTATGTATGTTTGAGTGAAAATGGAGCAGGTCAAGACTGTGACCCAGGCCTGTCAATCATGAACTCAGAACGAGAAGATGTTAAGTTCCTTTTCTGTTTCTCTCTTTTTTTTCACACTCATCTACTCCCGCACATTCGTACACACACTTTCACACCCACATCTTGAGAGAGTTGTTTGACTGTGTGCCTAATGATAATAGATGAGGTGTCAAGATGAAGGTGAGAGACACTAAGTCATCCTCACAGCACGAGGGAGAAACAGCTCATTTCTAGCTCTCTCTCATTTTCACTTCGCCTAAATCTAGAGGCGCTGAAATAGGAGAAAAGCGCCTATAGAACTTCTATTCTAGGACAACACGATGTTTTCCATTCGATTTTACTCTTACTTTTAAAATAATACGGTCATGTGTCTGAGTTATGGGAGGACATGGATATTCAAACTGGGCTGTCTTTTCGGTACACATTAGAGCAGCGGGAAGAAGTCAGCACTTTACACAAGTCTTGTGAGAAAGTGTCAAAATATGACAGGGCTGAACAGAAATAAAAAACTGCTTATGCAAGCCTCTTGTCTCTCAGAGAATCTCTAGAATAAAGTGACCTCTGCTTCTCAAGAGCATTCACAGGCATATACAGTATGTAAACATTATTTAATGTCATTTAAAAGTATAGATGGCAAAATAAAGACAATAGATTTAAGCAAAAAGAATCACACCACGTTTTTATTAATTCTTTACTTAACTGTAAAAATACAGTGACCGTTGTGTCACAAGATGCATTTTGGCTGTATGATATTAAATATATCAATACATTTCAGTGTTAAATCTATTTGTTTCTGTAAAATGTGATCATTTTCTGCACAATGACATAATTATCACCTGATAAATAAATAACATTATTTAAACAATAATGTAGACCTATAGCTTAATTATTAATTTAATGTGAACATTTATCAATTCACTCAAATTTAAGCAAGCATTATTTTATTTATTTTTTACATGTATTGTAAAATGTATGACATGCAGGCCATTACATATATTGTCTAAAGTGTAATGTGTAATGTAGGCCTATATATGCTAATGTAATTTACTGTAGCACTTTGGCATTATTCCAGTTAATATCACGGGCATTTTTACAGTGTGGTTTGCATGTAATAGTACGCAGTCTGTGAAAGTTTGAAAACCAACCAAACTTCAAGACTTTTAATGAGTTCATCCTGTCCTAAAATGTTCGACAGCCCGTCCAAATCTAATAAATAATTCAATTTTAGAGCGTTCTGCACATTGTGGCTGAATAGCGACATGTTCTGTGAAAGCACATCCAGACATTTTTTTTTTTCCTGAACTGACTCCCTATAGTTTGTCTTTCAGCGAATATCACAGCTCTCACACATACACACACACACTTGACCAAAGGACCGGACGACCTCGCATCATCTTGAAGCTGCGCGAGCTCTTACCGGATTCTCCAGGTACAGTCGCGGTGCGAGGAGATTCCGGTGGAGATCAGTCTCTCTATCCGCCCAAGTGAGAGTCCAAGATCCGCTAACTCCGACAAAAGACGAGTGATGTCTGCACGGTTCTCAAAAACCCGACGAGTGAATGGCTTTAGAAGCTTTTGAAGTGCTGAGATTCAAACGACGCGCTCGTACCCTGCTTTTAAAAATACTCTCCAGACTCTCAGGTGGTCTTCGGGGTCGCGCAAAGGCAGAAGAGTCGAAGGCAAGTTGATTCTCAACACATATCTGATGAAGACACGAACAAAGATATGCAGGATGCAGCCCATACACTCACACACGCGTGCGCGCGCGCGTAAAGGGGGGTGACGAATTGGAATAGATTTTTTTTTTAGGCTACAAAATTTCAATTACATTTAAACTGCATTTTAGCAGGAAATCCACTTGTTTTTGTTGTGGGAGATGTAACAAAGATAAGAGGGCCGAATGAACAACTTCATGTTAATACAAGCCCAAAGGGGAGCTCAGCTCAGAGCAATAGAAAGCTCATCATCATTCATTAACTCATCAAGACAACACACGCACACACACACACACACACACGCACGCACACACACACACGCACACACACACACACACACACACACACACACACACACACACACACACACACACACACAGTGCATCTATTCCAGGACATCCCATGGCTTCATTAGATTGGCTGTGAGCTCATTAACAACACAACACAATGCTTTAACAGCATACATATTCAAGTACATTATGAGCACCATTGTGCCGATGTATGATATTTTGAGTGTGGATGTGTTTGTGTGAAAATAAAAACTAGGTCGAATAGCCCACCCAGTGCTTCCTGTGCTTATGGGAGCAACACAGACAAACACATCAAACACTCAATTACACAACATGTAAACTACACTATATGACCCAATACCAGCCTTCATCTCTTGTTTTCACATGGCTAAATGAATAACAGAGAATGTGAATAATGAGCAGGCCCCTTTTCACACTTTCTGCACAGATTTTGGGTGAATATCTGTGGAATGGAAATATAATAACAGTTCAAATATGATATTTTACATAAAGGGAGCTGAGATTATACTGTACACTTTTATTGGAAGCTGGAAGCGTTTTCAAACGAGCTGAAATATTTAATAAATGAAAGGGAAGATGGGTATGAAAAAACCTGTGAATGATGGCAAGAGTAAAAACAATTATTGTATTGTATTTGGATTCACATAAATAAACTGTATAAAAATAAACATTCTGTCATAATTTACTCACCCACATGTCGTTCTAACCTTTACACAAAGGAATATATTTTAAATAATATTTAAAGTGTCCCTATTCTGCTTTTTCAGATATTAGCTGTACAATATGCCTATATTATGAATGTCTGCAAAGTTAGCCATTAGTTTTTTATATGGACAAAATACGGATTTGGAACGACAATTCAGAGGTCGAGTCTAAACCTTTATTAACGCTCGAAAGCAGACATATTGTACACACTTGCAACTCAGCACCTCGCTGTAATAGATGAGGGGTCAAAGAAGCACAGCCATAACTCTCTATGAATCAATCCCCTGAGTGTGTGTGTGTGTGTGTGTGTGTGTGTGTGTGTTTGTGTTGGGGGGGGGGGGGGGTCTGGTAAACCCAACATTATGGGGACAAAATGTCTCCATAAATATGCCAATATCCGAAATCCTTGTCCTTGTGGGGACATTTTGAGGTCCTCATGAGTAAAGCAGCTTATAAATCACAAAGAGATGTTTCTTGAAGATGTAAAAATGCTGAAAGTTTTCTGTGATGGATAGGTTTAGGGGTATGGTTAGTGTAGGGGGATAGAGTTTGTACAGGATAAAAATCATTATGATTATAAAAAGTCACTTGTGCGTGTGTGTGTGTGTGTGTGTGTGTGTGCGTGCGTGTTCAGACCCTAATTAATCTCTGCACTGTCTCTCTGGAGGGCAAACACATTAAACACCCAAGACGGGTTGAATTTTTTTAATGATCAATAGTGGATCCCATAATTCATATTTCATTGTTTTTAATTGCGTATGTAGCGGAGGCTGCTTTATAGGATTAATTGATACCTGTTTTATTGTTATTTAGAGAATCATAAACAATAGACATTTAATACATTCTAAAACATTTGTTTAGGAGATCGGCTCTGTAATTGTGTTTATGTGTCCAACATGCTTTATGATCAGGCTTGATTATTTCATGATTTGCAGTGGTGTGTGTATGTGTGTGCGATAAACAGTGGCTCCTGTGTGCGTTATCTGGCAGTGATTCTTATTAGAAATGTGAGACAGTCTTTCACTGAAAGATCCACCACCTGCAGTCTCAGCTGTATGGTGATGAGACACACACACACACAACCACACATTCTCACACAGCTCTCTCTCACACATGTACACAATCAACACACACTCTCCTTCCTCACATGCATTGTCTCCTTATCTCACACTCAAAGCGAGACCAGAAGTGTGAAGAAAGGTGTTTCTTCTTAATTAGGCTTGCATACACAATCTTATATTTAGTCTATTTTGCATGCTCTTTACTCTTACGTGTCTTTTAATATTTCTTGACATTGTGGCCTACATGCACGATGGACACACACACACACACTGCTCAATGCACTGGGTATTTTTTTCACTGCGATTTGTTCCTGTCTTATATCTAATTGTCCCTATATCAACATTACATCTTTATCACTCTCTTTTTTTCCTTTTTTCTCACGCACACAGCCTCAGTTTCATGTTCCTCTGTCTTCTTTGTCTTATATTCTCCTCCTTCGCAGGCTTAACAGTAGAGGGACCATTAGACGTATAGCAGAGTCCCAGAAACAGCTTTGATCATCTGTTCATTAGATCGCATGGGAATATCTTGGAGAAGAAGACAGATACGGGGATGGGCGGTTGGAGCATTTTTTCAATAGGATGCACCAAATTTGTAATGTCAGATTGTTTTGCTTCCACAAAAAAGCCCATAATAAAATCCATTTTACCGATTTAAATTCACATGATCCTTTTTTTTAACTGTCCAAACTTATTTGTACATGAATGTTATTCTAACAATAAGAAGAAATATGACATTATATTTTGTCATTAAAAAAAACTAGGCTATTGTTTAACATTTATTTTAATGTGTAACTCTTTTAGTTTATTCTTAGCTAAAAACACTAGTTCTTTCAAAAAAATATATGTGCTCATTAATGTATATTTACTCCGTACAAGTAATAAAGTAATCTCGTGAGTGTATAATATGCCATTGAAAATACATACGGGTAAGGGGTTCTAATGTCGGTCGCCATGTTGCCCCTCCATCTTGAAAGTACATTAGTCAAAGAGGGACATACCCGTTAATTCAAGCTTCGCCTTTCGCGTTTACGTTTGAGTTAACACTCATGGACGAGGTCGAACTGGAAGCCATGTTAATCTTGGACTACATTGGCCACCGTAGGAGTTAAAACGAAATCGGAACTGAGAGGAACAGAAACTAATATTTACTGGATGGTCATATACCTTTTCACCGCTAGATGGGGGTAAAAATTACACAGTGTAGCTTTACAACATTAAAGCCTCTTTTTGTCACGTCTGTTTGGGTTTTAATGTTCATTTATTGTGATTTCCTGTTCCTTAACCCTTCAAGTTAGGGAACAGGAAGCAAGTATTCTTCCAGTATAGGCTTGGAGGCTTACGTAATGCATCCTTCACAAAGACGTTGAGTGAGGATATGTTTGGGTTTTGTTTATTGGTTAATTGTCATGTCTGCGTCCGAAATCGCATGCTCTTTTAGTGCTTATTTTGAAAAAAATAATTACTTTGCGATCACTAAAAAAGTATGTTCTATAGTATTAATGCGTGTAGTAGGAATGTAATTCAGACGTACTACATTCGCAATGTTGTCATTATCATGTGAATTACGGCGCCAGTCGTAAATGAATCTCTCTCCTGTGGCCTCATGGGAAAGTAAAGTGTCCATTGTATTAATCTCGCCAGAAGTAGTATTTTTTACTCTTTTACGAGTACTGTGAATTCCGACATAGTTCTTTTGTCACATACTGTTTTTCACCTACAACATTGTAGGGAAGTACACAATTGTGGATGCAGCCAATAGCTGTGCAGAACAATCGGTCAAAAACATTAATATACCGTGAGAGTGATTCGAAAGAATACTAGTTAAAGCCAGGGATAGTTCACTTTGAAATTATTTTTTATCTGTTTTAGCTTACCTCAAGGGCATCCGAGATGTAGGTGTCTTTGTTTCCACACTATTTTCAATTTTGATATTTTTAGGTCAAACCGTTCTTGTCTGTCAGTCCAGTCCGTTCTCATCCCAAGGCGTCATATACGGACACTTTTGACATTTCGTCTACATCCAATGCACATGGCACCCTTTAGCATCAATATGAGACGCATATATATATATATATATATATATATATATGGGCCAGAAGGCGCCTCCTAGTGGTGTAACCCTAAACCTACCCCAGAACTAAACCTACCATAACCGAACAAAGCTCTGTGCGTGTTATATTGACGCTAAAGGGTGCCATATGCGTTGGATTTAGACGAAATTTCAAAAGTGTCACTATATGACGCCCTAGGATGAGAATGTGGGTCAGTCATATAATGGAGGTTTATGGGGTCCACCCTGGGTTCAGCTCAAAGAGCATGCACAGAGAAGTCCAAATTAAACATGATTTAATGACACATTGATGGCCTAAGACACGTAACAAGCGGTTTGTGTGAGAAAACGAACAGTATTTATATCGTTTTTACCTCTTGTAACCACAGCCACGTCAGAGTGATCTGAGGGCGAGGGCGCTTCTATTTGCACAAGCGCGCCGGCTAGCGCCGGTAAGCCCCGGAAGTGATCTCTCGCGCGTGTACCTTCACTGTGAAGATCTAATAACGTTGATTTTTTATTTTTTTTTTGCAACCGCGCAAGAGATCACTTCTGGGGCTTTCCGGCGCGCTTGCACAGATAGAAGCACCAGTGCAGATTACTTGGACGTGGCTGTGGTTACAAGAGGTAAAAACGATATAAATATTGTTCGTTTTCTCACACAAACCGCTTGTTTCATGTCTTAGGACATAAATGTGTACTTACATTTACGAGTCATTAAATCATGTTAAATTTGGACTTCTCTGTGCATGCTTTTTCAGGTGGACCCCATTAACCTCCATTATATGACTGACAGATGAGAACGGTTTGACCCAAAAAATATCAAAATTGAAAATACTGTGGAAACAAAGACACCTACATCTTGGATGCCCTTAAGGTAATCTAAAACATACCAAAAATTAATTTCGAAGTGAACAATCCCTTTAAGTC